ACGCTTCAAATCAACATTTAAAACAACAAAAAAATATAAATCTTGATAAAAAGTAGTCTTTGAGAATCCCTTAATATACATTTAAATCCACAACCTAAGAAAAGTAAGGAATTATGTATAAAAGCAACTAGGGAATTCAAAAGCCTCTATAGATTCCTATACAGGCTAGTATAGGAATCTAGTGGTTACACCATGAAATTACATAGTTTTCATTCTTTGCTCTCACCAGGAGGTGCTAATCTGCCTTCAAAAATGGATTTTAAATGCCTAGTCTCTATTTTAATCTGAGATACTGCATTAATTGAAAAATAATTGTAAAAATTTGAGATTTTTTTAATACTATTTTCAATGGGACAAATTTATAATAATTATTGCATAAATATTAATTATTACCATAAAATTATCTCAAAATACAAAATAAAAATAAAAATATTATTGAACAAAAATATATTAGATTGAGTTTACTGAAGAAGAAAAAAACGTTACATTTTAGGTGTCCGGTCACTTTTGACCACGAAGACCATGAGTGTGATTCCAAATAAAGACCGCACAAGGGTTTTAATGCAACTCCCATTCATCAATGTAGCGACACCAATGAAGCACTGGTATTATGACAACAATTATTATTAGTCACCAATATTAGATTATAGGCCCATAAAATAGCATAGGTGAACCAATTAGACAAAAACAAAGGATTAATTTCAAACCAGGTTGGTAACATTATGAAGGTGAATAAGTGATTTTTTTTAAGAGCACATGCTGAAGATAGATACCTAGTAGGGCCATAAAGCAGATGCATATGGCAAAGAGGGAGCTGAAACTGAGGCCCACGTCATCTCGGTAGATGGCCAGCGTCACCTCACAGTGCCGGCCGCGGTAGCCCTCTGGACAGTGGCATGTGAATTTGGTGGGAGACTGTGCCACACAAGTGCCCCTGTGACATGGGCGGCTGGCACAGAGCGTGTACACACAGAATTTACCAGTGGAGTTTGCCTTGACCATGTGACCTGGGGGACACCTGCGATTGAAGGAGACAAAGAGAGAAAAGCATTAGTCAAATGGTAATATATGATGTAAAAAAAAAAATTGTGAGTAACTGATGACAACATAAATAACATAAATGATTCAGGTTTGGAAGTTAGTTGTTTCTTTAATTAATGGTAAAGTGTACATTTATTTCCAATACTTCCTCTGGTGGTAGTATTTGAAAAACCTGTTTAGAAACCATTTAAAACTAAAGATTATTTGGTGCTGCTAGTGGTGCAAAAATTAAAAGACACTGGTCAATATCCAATGGAAAATTCCTTGGTACAACTAAAAATGTCCACACAATGTTTGTAATTGCAAAACTACTCACAGTGAGCTGGTACATTTAAAAAACTGTGGGAATAAAATAAGCTTGAGATCACACGCTGAATTTTTCTTTGCCCAGGAGATCAGTGTAGAAACAGAACACTGAAGGAATTTAAAATTTGTCTGAATATGTGACTAAAAATCTTGACTTGCTCTCTGAAAATCTCAAGGGAAAACACACATGCACACAGTGCGAAAATCCAATGTGATCGGCACCGAGCGTGCTTATAAAACTATCGGCAAGTCAGAGGCAATTCCTGTAGAAAAACAACAACATACAATCATAGACACAATCAATACACAGCAGCTGCGCAGCTTTCACTGCCAGAGAGGACAGGGGATAGGTCCGGGGTGAAGAGCAGCCCACATATATCATACCTGCCTATCTGCCTTTGACTGAGGCGTGTTGACACGCAACCCCAGAGCCAAAGTGCATAAGGCTTGGCTAAGTGGAGCGCCCTACTGCGTGTGTCTTACATTGAGCAGATTAAAGCAAATTTTTATTAAAACTAACCTATTTACCTTGTTTCTTTTTTTGAACAGGATTAAGATGTGTGCATGTTTCATGTTTTTTTTTTTTTTCTCATTTAGTACGGCCCTTCAGAAGCTACAGAACACTTACATGTTTCCCATTAGACAATAAGTAAAATTTTGGGGGTGAAAACTTTCAAAAAGCCCCCCTCCCCCCATATTTTAATGAATTGTGCTTCCTTTTTGCACATCAGTGAATGTTTGAACCTTTGGTAACAGTTGCGTATGAGTTCCTCAGTTGTCGTCAGTGTGAAAAAAATGGATCTCAAAATCATACAGTCACTGCTGGAAAGGGTTCAAATATGCCAAAGATGCAGGACCTGGATGACTTTTTCTGAAGAACAGTGGGCAGTTAAACTGTTCAGGACAAACAGGGGACTCGAGGATACCCATTACAAAAAAAAAACAAAACAATGTAAACTTTTCAACATGGTCATTTTTATATTACTATTATTTTGTCTTATTGGCTATATGTACACATCTATTAGGTAAAATATCTTATTCAGGATGGTACAAAATAAAAAAAATAACATGCATTTTGTATGATCCCTATTATTTAGGTAAAATAATAAACATTCTGCAAGGTGTATGTAAACTTTTAACTGTGTGTATTTGTGTACCTGCATTCATGGATTCTCCACAGGTCCACGCAAGTAAAGGGGGGACTACATTGTTTTTTCCGGCAGGAGTCAGAGGAACAACCCAGAGACACACCTTGAGAACTGACCAACGATACCCCCTCTCTGGCCTGACCGTCCAGAGGAATAAACCGCCCATTGAGTCTCAGGTCCCGCATACAGCCTGTGCCAATAGGAAAAACAAAACAAAAGCCAACATGTTTCATGTTACAGTACAAATATAGCATAAAGTGTGAATCCTCCTCTTACACCTACATAACATACACTTGCTTCTTCACACACACACATAGATAAACTGAGCTCAACATGATCCACTCATATTCTGAGCTTTTAAGAAAAGTGCTTTTATATCCATTTAATAAACACACAAAGTGTGTGCCTCGGGCTAACCAGCGTGCCTGCACACAGGGAACTATTCCACCTCCTCTTCTCTTTCATGTCACATGTCATTGTCTCCCTTCCCTCCCGCAGTCAGTTTTTATGCTAGTTGTACTTCCCCTCTACACTGAAGGTGCATTTGAGGCTATCATGAATTAATCGTTCCTATTAATTTTTCAAAATTGCCAATACAATAGTGTGTAATCATGACAGATAGAGGAACTGCTGTATGAATTAGCTGATAAAGCTGTACAGTGTCATCTGCTTGATGTACACATGTGCTGGCTAAGTCTTTTCTCTGAAGTTAAATTGGATTAGTGGTAAAACGGCAGTCTACTTCACAGTGCTCTGATATAACTCAGTGATTGGATTTTTCTGGCCATGGGACGCAGCATTTTTGTTAGCTCAAAATGTCATCCTACAGTGTTTATTGGAGTTGTCCGCAGCTCACCATGCACACTTTGACATATTGACTCCATTTCACTTATTGTAACCAACTCATCTATTGCGAGAAGCTCTGGACAGACTGCTAATCAACTCTGAGACGCCAGCCAATGGGAATTAACAATCAGGGAGCTGTATTTGGTGCTGCTTTGAAAGTACAACTTTGTGTAGTGTGGTATGTTTTTCACGCCATGATGTTTATTAGCCAGTTCTATCAAATGTGCCAGGTTTGTTTTCTCTTAAAGGGGTCATATGATGCTGCTAAAAAGAACATTATTTTGTGTATTTGGTGTAATGAAATGTGTTTATGCGGTTTAAAGTTAAAAAACACATTATTTTCCACATACTGTACATTTCCTCTTCTCTTTCATGTCACATGTCATTGTCTCCCTTCCCTCCCGCAGTCAGTTTTTATGCTAGTTGTACTTCCCCTCTACACTGAAGGTGCATTTGAGGCTATCATGAATTAATCGTTCCTATTAATTTTTCAATATTGCCAATACAATAGTGTGTAATCATGACAGATAGAGGAACTGCTGTATGAATTAGCTGATAAAGCTGTACAGTGTCGTCTGCTTGATGTACACATGTGCTGGCTAAGTCTTTTCTCTGAAGTTAAATTGGATTAGTGGTAAAACGGCAGTCTACTTCACAGTGCTCTGATATAACTCAGTGATTGGATTTTTCTGGCCATGGGACGCAGCATTTTTGTTAGCTCAAAATGTCATCCTACAGTGTTTATTGGAGTTGTCCGCAGCTCACCATGCACACTTTGACATATTGACTCCATTTCACTTATTGTAACCAACTCATCTATTGCGAGAAGCTCTGGACAGACTGCTAATCAACTCTGAGACGCCAGCCAATGGGAATTAACAATCAGGGAGCTGTATTTGGTGCTGCTTTGAAAGTACAACTTTGTGTAGTGTGGTATGTTTTTCACGCCATGATGTTTATTAGCCAGTTCTATCAAATGTGCCAGGTTTGTTTTCTCTTAATGTAGACACAAGAGAACAAGGTAAAACATAAATTAGACAATGTGTTTGGATCTAGAATAGCATTTCATAACCTTTTTTTTTCAGCAATGTGTTTTTTTGAAACTCATACTTCATTTAGCATTAGCAGTAATGTTAGGAAAGAGGCTAAAAACAGTTGCACAAGCAGGTGAAGACAGTCTCAACAACCAGTTTCTTCTCACGTTAATGAGACACCTGAGCTTGTTTGTCATTAGCAAGTTATGATAGGTCTGGAGGCAATTGTGCATCTGCTGTTGTATTGTTTTGAAGAAAACAGACGAAAAAGAGGTTATTTGTCATTCATTATTTAAATTTTCTCACAGCCCTGATGCTTTTATTGTATATTACTTAGAATTTTTCTTTTGAATGGCAGTGAATAGTACAACATGGATTGGAAATACGATTTCCAGAGATCTGCATCATGTGTCACTGGAGAGTTGAGCTTCAGGAGCACACCTGTACCTTACCTTGGAAGCTCTTGTTGTGTCCTGAGGGGAACGAGTTGCCCAGCATCACCACAGCGGGATCAATAACAATCTCCCGACTGCGACCCGGCGATCCCGTGACCTCTCGCCGTCCTCCCCCGCCATCCAGACGCAGGGTCAACTCATTGTCATGCCGATCTAAGTGAATGTCATGCCACTCTCCATTGTCTAAACGATAAGAGGGCACTGTCAAGTTGAAGTCCCCATCACCGAGGTTGAAGAAGACACTTAACAGACCCTGATAGATCTGAGAAAGTGGGACAGAAAAAAAAGAGAGAGAATGGTTTCAGTTAATAAACTCATTTAGAATTTTGTAAATTATCTGAGGAATAACAGTGCCGGAGACAAAGAAAAATTGTGAAATTATGAAAATAGTGGTATTGAAGTATAGAGAGGGGCTCGGTATGGGATGAGATAGACCCAACGGGGACTTAAGACATCAGACTGGGGCAGGATCTGATAAAACGACAGAGCACTAACAGAATTAAACATATCAGCCCTTTAATTGGAGACAGTGGGAGCAGGGAATTCAATATGGTGTCAGTGAGGTTTGCCACTATATTCTTATGTTGCCTCACTGACTCTCTAGTGGTCAGCTGTGAGACTTTCTTTTACTCTCACTTTCCCTTTGTGAGCTCTTCTTAAACCGATTGCTTCTTATAAATCAAATGTTTCTAAGGAAAGCGGTATTAAAGAGGGTTTGTAGGATAAAAAGTGTGTAATATCAAAGTACGATATAAAAGCCTGCAGTTTCATGCTTTGAATCATCCAATATCCAACAAGCCCATCACTGTAATGTCTTATTTTTAACAGTCTAATAACAATAATTCAACTGGGGTTTTACTTACAAGCATATAGCCATAGCGCCACACCTGGAGAAAAAAATGCCAGGTTTGACAATGAAGTGTGTTTTTATTTGTGAGAAAGAGCAGCTGACTGATCTCCTGAAGAAAGCCCCAACCTTCATTTTGATTTCAGAATCTTTCTGCTTGTGTCCCAGAGAGCATAATTTGCCAGCCTCCATTGTGGATCCTGGCTTTGTGGTGATGTAAAAAGCAGGTCTAATCAATGATGCAAAAGGCAGTGAGGCTCTCACATTTCAACAACAACTGTAAACAGTTTACACAAACACGGTTGACCTCTGTGAACTTGGCACCTTCCTCCTCTCCCACAACCTACTCAGTTTCACCTGCGGTACAGCTCATGAGAATAATCTCAAACCGGAATAAAGGTAAATTATGTGAAAAATAATGCGTTTTTTAACAAACGAAGCATTAACACATGTTAGACTGCACCCCATAAACACAATCAAGCCTATATAAAAAAACAGTCAACCACCCCTTTAATATCTGAGCAATTCATGCAACAGGACACATCTGATGACTTAGAAAGACCTGTGAGCCAACTGTCCCAATATTTATGCTCATACCAGATAGCGGGATGAAAATCTAAAAGTGCTGATCTTCTTAGATGGTAAAACAAGTATGTGTTGAAACACCCAATAATAAAATGTTACATTCTGTAGTTTTGTCTCAGATTCATCTTTTAATCATATTTACAGATTTATTGACTCCTCAGCAAACAGATCAATTTTGTTTTTACTGTCCCAATACTTATAGAGGGCACTGTATGTATATTTATGAGGTAACCTTATTTTAAAAGTGTTAATTCTATGCCTGGGAAAGTCATGTAAATGAACTCATTTTTAAAATTCTAATGGCATTTTTTTTTTTTGCAAAAAAATATACATTTTCCAGTTATGCCAAGTTCTGGCTCAATATTTTATCAGGTAGAAATTGTAAGTAAAAATATATATTTAAAAATCCAGTAAATCATGTTATCCAGTAAATCATAAACAAAAGTCATGTAAATCAATTGGCTGGAGTGGTAATCTTGCAGAGCATTCACAACTCCTGGAATGGTTAACTTTATTTTAGTTGGAGTCAAAAAGATTGAGAACCACCGTTTTAGAGGTCTATATTTTGGTTTTTCTGCTTATTCTCAAAATGGAAAGATAGTCTCAAATACGGTATTCAAATGTTTTCTGTGAGCTGTCTATCATCAAAACCTTCAAAATACTAAAAACACCACTACATAATGACCACATTGCAACTGAATGATGTTACCTGAATATGATTTAACATTTGGCTCTGTATTATGCATCTCACCAAGTTTAAATTTCTTCTGTATATTTTAAAAGCAGCATCTATCTGGGCTGCTCATAGGGTTGTTTTCCAATGTCATGGTTAATATTACCAGATAAAACCAACTCAATACACCCGTCAGTAAGCTCTAAACAAGTTCTGAGTGAGAATTCCTTGAATTCAAAGAAAAAAACACAGACTACAGTACATTGATATTCCGCTGCCGCTAATGGACCTGTGGCTAAGTCTCTTGAGAAGAAATTAGATGATCAAACTATCATTTCCTCCTCATCCGCTGATGATAAGAACACCTTGCTGAAAATGTCTCAGTGAGATGATGCATCATAATCAGACACAACAGGCAATGCTAAATTGGTATTGGCACATCACATCAATTAGCATTATTGCTAAGGTAATTGAGAGGAGCACAGCAGGAGATTAAGTTTTAATCTTTCGCACATGGCACAAAGGCAGCATCAGTTCCTGCACCGCTGCGAAGCCTTGCAAGAATCACAATATAAGCAGGTAATGAAATCTGTAGCCTGCCACTTTAGGGGATATAAAATGTCTTCTAGCCTGTCTCACAGACATGTCTAATTCATGCCACAGATAAATCACCCACGATTTACATGGGAGAGATAGAGAGACAGAGGAAAAGGAGAGGAGCGAGAGGGAGAGGGAGAGGGAGAGAAACAAAGCAGCAATCAGCAATCCGACTGCATCATCTTAAAGCAGGTGTTGAGAGAAGAAAAAAAAAAAACTTGAAAAAATGAGACAGCCTTGGAGTGAGAGGGTAGATGGCATGCATTCTGCAAGTGTATCAGCCGAATCGGGATACGCATACTAATGTCTCGATGATTAAACACAAACTCGTTGCTCCATTCAAATTCTCACATTGCACCGCTGTTGCAACAACGTTCGCGGGGTCTGGCAGATGGGCTGCTATTACAGAGCACATCAAGAACAAATAATCTTTATATGCCGGCGGTCGACATTGCTCATTTGTTGTAAGGACATTTCATGGGCATAAATTTGTAGGGAAACAGAGGAGACATTTAAAACATTCATTACAAAAAATCACTTCGGAGGGTGTTGGCAGGGTGCTCAATATTTCTGGTATAATATCCAAGTTAATGTTAATTTATAAATATAATATTGTTCAAAGTTAATTCATCTTTTTTCATATTACATTAATGTTAATTTATACAACTTGAAATGTCAAAAAATGTATAAGCAGTGTGCGTTCAAAAGTTTGAGCTGTCAATTCATCAAAAGAAAGCACAACCATTTTCAACATTTTTGATGATAATAATAAAAAGAAAATGTTTCTTGAGCAACAAATCTGCACATTAGAACAGTTTCTGAAGGATCATGTGACACTGAAGACTGGAGTAATGGCTGTTGCTATATTAAAATAGAAAACTGTTTTTTATTGTATTAATCTATATTTGTATTAGATGTATTTTTAATCAAATAAATGCAGTCTTGGTGAGCTTGAGACTTAATTAAACAAAACAAAAATATGGTTATATGTACAATATAACAATAAGGTTTCAAATTGTTAACAATATGTGACCTGTGCTGGCAAAATGAGTCACAATGAGCAAATTTTCAAAAATGAGTTATTTTTATTTTCACATTCTCTATTAAAAGACATTCAAAATTATGTATGATTTGTTGGAATCGGACAAAGCTACACCTGTTTGATGTTGATGGAGTCAGCAAAGTAAATTTAGAGAAAACCTGATTTAAAGTTTTCTGAAGGTTCCAAGCAAAATCACCCAGCAACATTACATATTTTCCCCCACTTCTTTTCTAAATAATCATTACTAGATTAATAATCACAATATAGCAATTTTTTATTTTATCTTTGTTGTTATAAATAAGAACCAATGCAAAAAAAGAACAAATATAAGAAAGAAACAAGTGTAGCCTATAGTGTATTATTTTTTTCATTTCACATCTAGACATAAGCATTCGAATAAGAAAACACAAACACTAAAATGTAAAATTCACTTAAGTGTGTTCATTACAAATAAATAATTAAAACTACAAAAGCACTTCAATCAAGAGCAGCGAGTTATTCCCTCTTTTCTTTTATGGTTTGATTAACATTAATGTGACAGACAACCAATATTAATATGTAGTGTAATGCACGGATCTAATATAATGTTACACATCCGATGTTTTCCTCCAACAGTTCCCCAAATATTCACTTAAGACATAACAGTTTATGTTTGCGTGAACACTTAAATACCGTAATTCTGTGTATATGTGTATATTTATTGGGATAGAGCGCTGGCGGAATGCTCCTCTAAGAAAATGTACAAATAAAGATACTTTTAAATGTTTAACTACTATTTGGAGAATTGGGATTGCTTGACGAGGGCTTAATGAACACATTTTTGTGAAAACCTCAAATTCGACATGTTTCACTTTTTTTGGCCTGTAGCTCAAAATTAGACTGTGCGCATTCTGACTCATTTTGCCAGCACGGGTCACATATTTAATATGCATCATGGACTAACAGTAATAATACATTAGAAATATTCATTTCAACACACTTTACTATTAAAAGGTTTGGGGATTGGTAAGGTTTTTGTACTGTTTGTTTTTTAAAGCAGAATATGAGAATATTTGGAAAAGAACAGTTATTTTAAAAAAGAACATGATAATAATACACCTTCAGCAGAAAGAAATCCTTGATAATGCATTTGCTATATTCAAGGGAAGTGAAAAGCATGAGAGAGAAAAAGAGAGACGTTTCAAGAGCACTAACCTCCAGTTTGAGATATTCATTCTGTTCTTTAGACAGCAGGCTGAGGATAGAGCTGCTATGTTTGCGTGTCCGGACCAGGACCTGAACCTGCGTGTGTCTGGCCGGGAGCGTGAAGGCCAGCTGAAAGTGTATGTGACTCCTTCCATCAAAAGAATACTCCGGGACCTCTGTGAAACACAAATGTGTTCTTCAGATGCAGTCCTTAAAAAAGGATGCATAAACAGTGAAAAACGCCCTGGGAGAATATTACAGGATGTTCCAGTCGTGTTACATAAAGAAGCTCTACAAATTCACAACACTTCTGAATGCGATTTGTGCCAAGATTCGGTGTGTGTGAAAATCCTGCCTGGGTGCTAACACTATCCCTCCTACACAGAGCAATTCAAAGCTATTTGCTGCCCCACTGAAAAGCCTTCACACACGCACACACCCGCGCACGCACGCATGCGCGCACACACACACACACACACACACACACACACAGTTTTCACATCCATTCAGTCATTCACTTTAGCAATGACTTCTTATCTGCTTTATCTTTGATGACTCATTTCCACATTCCACTTGTGGAAACAGACATGGCTTGAAAACTCTGGGACAACTGCTGAGTAATTACCCTTTTCACACTGATGCCCGCTGTACCCAGGTATGCACTGACAGCTGAAGGAACCCCACTCTCCGTGGCAGCGCCCCCGGGTCCCGCAGGAAGGAAAACCCATGTTCACACAGCTATTGTCCGTCATCAGACATCCCGGAGCACTGCCAGAGGAATCAGCTGGTGAACCGAGGTCATAAAACTGAGAGAGAATCAAAGTGAGGGTTACACACTAACAGAAGTAACAAAAATAGAGAATAAGCTAGTATAAATAAGGCAGAAAATAATGGTCAGGATAGGCCAAACTGGGAGGCCTTGAAAAGATAAGAGATGAAAAGAGAAAGAACGTTTTATCTTATTTGTGCATTCACTTTTAATCCAGCCTGCCATAATGAATATTGCTATGCTGTGCAGGCCACAGCCACTTAAAAGAGCTGGCCTGTAGTGCTCTGTATTAACAGAATGGGGAAACCTTGAGGCCTTAAATTCTCTTCACAACAGAAAAACCACGCACCACATTAGATCAATTTTTCCTTTCATCTGATGACTCCCATTTATTCATGCCCACTCTTCCTAATGACATGTTTTTGAAGTGGTTGCAGCATGAGTTTGACCCTGTGCGGGAACCGGTTGCACCTTGTACAGACAGATAGCACGGCTGATTTACCAGCACAGCTAAATAAGCAAAGGGGCTGCATTAATTCCACTGAACTGCTGTTTGTCACTATTATTTCACATTAGACAGGTTGGTTTATTGTCATTTATTTCCTAACAAAGGAAGAAGTCAAATACAGTGTCTCCTGAGCCACAGTTTGGAAACATTGAACCTCTAACACTTCCCACACGTGACCTGGCCATCAGACGACATTAATAACACAGAGAGAACAATAAATACAGACAATTTACAATAAAGCCACTGGTCAATAGTGAAATTCAGCAATATTATATTTCTGAATAATGACAGTTGTTGTTGTCGTTGATGTTTAAATATATTACAATAGAAAACAGGGTAACACTTTAGTATATTGAGGGACCAATCATCACTATTAACTAGCTGTTTATTAGCATTCCTATTATTAACATATTGGCTGTTTATTAGTACTTATAAAGCACATATTCTGCATGACCATATTCTACATCCCTAATCCTACCCAATACCTGAACTTAACAACTACCTTACTAACTATTAGTTTGTTAATAGCAAGAATTGGACCTTAAAATAAAGTGTGACTGAAAAGAGTTGTTTTAATTTGTAATCATATTTCACAATACTGTTTTTACTGCATTTTTGATTAAATGAAGGCAGATTTGATAAGCTTAAAGGAACACTCCACTATTTTTGAAAATAGGCTAATTTTCCAACTCCCCTAGAGTTAAACAGTTGAGTTTTACCATAATATCACAGAGCATCTGTGGCGCCCCAACGGTCAGACTAAGGGACAGGTGAAGAAGTAAAGGGTGAAGAAAGTCTATTTTGAAGCAGTGGCACCTATGATGTTGTAATAAGGAACATTTTGTAAAACTTTCATTGTGACCATTAGTATCATCGTTTGGTGAGAAATACAACTTGATTTTCTTGTACTAGTGTCACGCCCCTGGACTCTTTGTGTTGTGTTTTCCCTCCCCAGGTGTGATAACTTCCGTGTTTTCCCCTCCGTTTGTTTTACGTTTTTTCTCAGTGTTTTTCTTTCCGTTGTGTCCCCATGGATCCCTTCACTCGCCCCGAATTCCTCCTCCTCCTGCTGGAGCAGGGAGACAAAGCTCTCGAGGACCATACCAAACTGTTCCTGTTGGT